GTGGATTGAGTATGAAGAGGTTCATGGATTAACCACTAGGATTGTTATCAAATTGTTACAAAGGTTATGGGCTAGATTTGGGATTCCCAAGACAATTGTGTCTGATGCATGTCCGGCCTTTATAAGTGAAAATTTCAAAAATTTTTGTAATTCGTTGGAAATTAAACATGTATTAGCTCCACCATATCATCCCAGTTCCAATGGACAGGCGGAGAGAATGGTAGCTATCGTGAAAAATTGGATTAAAAAGGCCAAACAAGAAAATAATGATGTATGAATGACTCATTTATATTATAATAATTCCCGAAGCCGGGAGGGAATTACTCCGGTGGAGTTGTTTTTGGGAAGAAGGACTAGAGTGCCGTTGGATTTCTTAAGATCCAAAGATGGGGCTGGTATACCTTCAGTTGATAAGATTGAAATAAAATATCCTGTGGGGAGAATTATATGGGCCCGTTTGTTTGATAACAAAGGGAAGAAATGGGAAAAAGGTCGTATAGTAGAAAATCTTGGTTCCAAATTAAAAAATTGCTAATAAATGGAATAACGGTGATCAGACATAATTATCATGTAAGATTAGGAGAAAGTAAGAAGGGATAAAGATAATATGGAATTATGCGTAATTATTAGTCTTATCTTATTTTTTCCAGAATCTTAGATTTTTGTGATAATATAGCATATGTTAAATATGAATAATGAAAATATTGATCCATTTGGGATACTCTGATAACGATACTCTTGTAATATTGGGGATAAATAAAGATACTGTTATAAAGATAGAGGTATGCTTATTTGTGATTAAGTGCTGTCAGGATATATTTTAATGTAATGTAGTATTATCATTAAAGGATGCTTAATAGAAACATTAAAAAATCTGGAAAATAAAGGGAGTTTTATATTTCGGAGAGAGAGCTCAGCATCCTATAATTATACGGGATTATAATTGAGTCTAGTGGTTATTGAATGGCAAAAGCAATTTTTTTGTGTTTTACCTTGAAGGAAGAGATTCCTTTGGTTATTTAATTAATCACGTAATTGATAAAATTAGTGGAGTACAAGACAAGATTAGGTAGAGTTATTTAATTGATTGCGTAAATTGATAAAATTAGTAGAGTACGAAACAAAATTATATAAATTAATAAATTAGTTGAATACCGAACAACTGGGGGTGTTTTGGTAATTTATGCTTTCGGTAAAATGGTAATAAAGGCCATCAGAGGAAAGTATTTTATTAATTTATTGATTGTTTAAAATACTCGAGTATTCTCATCATAGAGTGATGTGAATATAGTAAGTAATTAAATGGTATAACGAGAGAATCTATACACCGGACAGTTGTTCTTTTTAGGAGAGAAAGGAAAAAGTAAAAAAAAAAATTTGCGTAATTAATGGTCACTGGGAGAAGAAAAAGAAAGTTGTATTTTGGTTATGATTAAGGACGGTTCACTTTGATGTGAATATGGTTGTAAGTTAGGAAAATAATAATAAAATAACAAATAATAGTAAATAGATACATAGTGATATTTTATTGTAAAGAAGGAGTTAAGATGGTAAATGTTTATTATTTAAGGGAAGGGAGAATTTGTGTCGTAAGAATCAGGGAATTTGTGATCAATAAATATTTGTATTAGTTATTGTAGAAAATCATGAGTTGTTGTGGACGACAAAGGGGGAAGAAAAAATAAATAACTATTTGGTTAGAATGTCTTTTTTTTATTAAATTGTGAAACAAAGAAAAACGAATGAACATAAATTAGTTTAAAATTTTTGTGTAAAAAAAAGAATTTTTGTGTAAAAAAAAGAATTTTTTTTGTTTAAAATTTGGTTTTGATAAAATAAAAAATTTTGGTTAAAATTTGGTTTTGATAAAATAAAAAAAATGCAATCACAATCAAAATTAATCCACCTATAAGATCATTATTTACAAATTAATTTTATCCCTAAAGTTAGTGTTGTTAAACGGCTCGTTTTGAGCCCATTTTTAAAAACGGCTAACTCATTATTTCATCCAGAAAAATATTATGCAAGCCTGAAGATTTTGGTTATAGAAGGAACAAAGGTCTTGACAAATATCATCGAAATCTCAAGGCTTAGGTAATATTGTTCTGGTTACAATATTGAGTTAGCCGTTTTAAAAAATCGGCTCCAAATGAGCCGTTTAACAGCACTACCTAAAGTCATGGATTTTAATAGCAGTGGGGATATTCACCAAATGGAGGCTCCTTCAAGGTCGGGCAATTCACTTATTAGAAAGAAGCGATGTTTCAACTGCCAATCCGAAACTCAGTTGAGAAGTCAATGTCCGGCCTTGAATAAAAAGAGCTGAAGACCGCTGGTGGAACAGGATCATAATATTCAAAATACCCAGAAAGGAGTGACCAAGATACTGGCGGAATTCGTGGATAGTGCGCTCGGCGGACCCAGAAAGCCTAATCCGCAACCGATGCCGCCAAGGTTGACACAGACAAAGAGGCCAGCATTGGTAGGATGGACTACATCAATATTCGAGCAGTTATGGAACACCGGGCGGCTAGTGCGGTGTGCCCAGTAACGCCCATAATAGTGGAGCCCAAAGAGCTGACAATAACGGAGCCAAGACCGCTGACAACAACAGATTCGGATGAAAGTCTGTGGGAAGATTTGCTATTGATGTAGCTCTGATGTCAAGTGATAGAATATGATGAATAAAATTTTTTTTTGTAGTATAGTAATTTTTTTTTAAGGAATGTCACTGGCCCATAAAGGGGAGACATGTCCTAGTATATTATATGTATTTACAATTTATTTTGGTTAGACATCAATCAGAAGTATTGTATTGGGGAATTATTATTATTATATTTAAAGTAAAAAATGATGATTATATAATACATTTTTTTTTCGAGATAATAGATCTTTTTTATTCATTAAATTTTTTGCAAAAGTTTTGGAAAATTCATTTTTAAATAAAGATATTATGAATTGTAATAGTAATTTCCGTTTTGTAAATTCGAAATTATTGTATAAATTAATAAAATATATTCTTCCGAGGATATCATTTTACTATACTTTCAAATAAATTATGATGAATAGTTTTATAAAAAAATATCAACTTTCACATTCTTTCTTTCAAATTATTGTTTAAGATATATGCATACATTTTTAAGGGCCAGGGAGTGGGGGGAAGACTAAGGGGGATATTTTTTATTAGCTAAAAATGATATTCACAAAAAGTGATAAATTTCTGAAGGGGGGATTTTCCCTTGCCCCCCTCCCCGGCTACGCTTATTAATCAAAACTAACTATATTTAAATATTTATAAATGTTGATTTTTATGTACTATATAGTGTATACTATGCAATTACATTAAGCAAAAAATTAAACAAATTTATTTCTAAAAATAGCCAAAGCTAGTTTTAAAAAATAATAGCTAATAGCGCACTTCTTTTTTTGATGGATAGCAATAGCAGTAGCGCGCTACTTTTTTGACAAATAGCGATCGCGCATTATTTTTAAAAGAAGGGTTTAACAACTACTCAAATAAGTAAAACTTGAAATATTGATTCTAAGATATATTTAATGAAGCTACTGAAAACTCCAAATCACAATAATTAACTGTTTTTATTTAATATCAATTTTAGCATGCCTGGGATCCTATACACACCACCAGAGTATTGAAAGGTTAATGTGTAGTGGCCAGGGATGCGAACCTGGTAAAATTTGTGCCGGATTCGTTTTATAAAAATATTGATGGGTTCGGTTCAGGGAAATCCTGGGTTTGGTTCCGAGTTCAGCTCAGTTTAAAAAATTTTGAATTGATAAAAATCTATATTTAAATCATAAACTAGACATAAATTTGGTATAAAAATTAATTTTTTATTTTATTTATAGGCAAAATTTAGTTAAAAATACAAAGCTTAGTAGTCATGCATCAATTTTAAAAATTTTATAGACGTATTTTTAAATTAACAAAATCCAATATAATAATTTTTACTTTGACTTGTTTACTTTCATTTTCCTCTAATTAATAATCTTTGAGATTAAGTTAAAAATAAATGGCTAAATGAGTTAATTGTTTAAAATAAATGGCTAAATGAGTTAATTGTTTAAAATTTATTAACACTCCAAGAGTTTGAGAATAAATTAAAAAAATATAAAAATGGGTATATGAATTTAGTTGTTTAAAATTTATTAACACTTCACTTAATTGGAAATTTGAAAATATTAAAAAAATTTAATTAAATTATTAATATTTGTATTTACAATTATAAATATATTTATATATGATTTTAAACAATACACTGAAGCCAGGTTCAAATAAAGTTCTCAGGTTCGGTTCGTAGTTTTAAAAATTTTAACAGGGTTCAGGTCCAGTTTGGCTTCAGATTTTTTTCCAAAAACCCAGATTTTCTTCTCTGGGTTCAGGTATGGTTAGAATCCCTGGTAGGGGCTAGTGTTGTTAAACGCTCGTTTTAAGCCGATTTTTAAAAACGGCTAACTCAATACTTCATCCTGTAAAATATTACACAAGCCTCAAGATTTTCCTCATAGAAGGAACAAAGGTATACATATATTAACAATATCACGAGGCTTAGGCAAAATTTTTGGCTAAAATATTAAGTTAGCCGTTTTTAAAAATCGGTTTAAAACGAGCCGTTTAACACTAGTAGGGGCTAAATTTTAAATAGTTGAGCTTAAAAATATTGCATTTTTTTATTCTACCAATAATAAATTTTTGTATTGAAACCAAAATAATTGCCTAAATACACTGTGAAATATTGTCTATTTTCATTAAATACAATAAATTAAATATTTGAATATGGGCTTGGGCTAAATTTTTGAAATTTATGATTTTCTTTAAATATTAAATATAAGTAAGGCCTAAAAATTTTTTTTATAGAAAGCACAAGGCTGGGCCAGATTAAAAAATCAAGGACCATAGAGATTTCTAATTTCAATAATTGAATTATTTTCTCTCTCAACTGATATAATTTTTTCATATACACAACATAAAGGAATGGGCAACATAGATGTGCTTTATTTAAATCATTTTAAAGAAAATTCTGATAATTGGGTTAAATTATTATTAAATAATTCACAATAAATCATTGAAATAAAGAAAGTCATCATGTTTTGGGGTGGTAAAGAAGAATGAGATATGTGAAAAAATTAATTAAAAATAACATGATGAAAAAAATATAGACAATTATTATGATGTAATTGTAAAAATGTTTTACCCATAATATAATGTAAAAAAATATATATTTTTTTTTTAAAAAAAGGACAAATTAAAATAAAATAGATATCAACATTTTAAATATTTCAAAAGAGGTAATCAGGTAGCCCCAATATAATTTGTGTATTAAATATATAGATAAAAAATTGCCTTTCAGCCTTTTGTTTTATTGCACATCCTTAGAACATATTATGAACAAAGAAAAGTATGATTAATTTTCAAGGACTCGAATAAGGCAAATGCCTAAATGTATTTGGGTAGACCCATTCATAATCTTATGTCAAAGAAAAGTACCATATATAAAGATGTAAGTATGTTATTTAAATTTCATAAGAGGATTTTGTATGCAAAATGCATATGATACTGCCAACTCTGATAAATGACAACTCATATCATTTTATCTTTAATTTATGTGAATTTTTTTAATGGGAATGATTAATAAATCATCATTTTAGTTTTACATCTTATTTATAATTAAATTATTTAATAATTATTTAAGGTGCACACATATAAACTACATAAATATTTTTTAAATATTAAAATCCTGTAAAATTGGATGCAATTGGATCTGTATAATTTTTTTGTATTTGTAAAGCCTTTTGCTTATAAAATTCTGATTTTTCTAAATCAACATCACAACCATCTCCATTTTTCAACATAATACTAAGATTAACACAACTTTGAGGATTATTAAGAACACAACCTTTTTGTGCATATATTAATGCCAGCTGCATATTCTTTGAAATAATTTTGTTGCCTATTAAAATATAAAAATTTTATTTAAAAAAAATTTATACCTGTGATATAAATTGAGCTTAATGTCTGACATGATAGGTCATTGTTATTTTTGCAACCTTGTTCTAAGTATTCTAAACTTTTAGACAAGTTTTTTTCTGAATCTAAACTCTTTGATAGGCAAGCAGCTATATGGCAAGATTTTCCAAAATTATATTTGCATCCTAAATCTAAATATTCAAGAGCTTTCTTTTCATCTTTTTTAATGCCTAAAATAAAAATGAATTTAATATATAAATAAACTAAACCTATTCCCATGTATAAATATTTCCCATATTTGTAACAACTTCTTCCGGTATTATATAGATCGCAATTTCTTTTAAAAATTTTATTTGCCTGATAAAAGTTTTTCTTAATGGCTTCATAAAAATCTCCTAGCCGTTGACAGGCTAGTTATATTTTTAAATTGTCAAAATATTAAACTAACATTCATTCCTATTTTCCTCAAAACATGCATAATTATATTCAATAAACACATTCTCCAAATATAATTTAACATCTTCACTATCACTAAAATCCCAAGCCATTAGGAGGAAATGTGGAGTAATGATGAATAGCGTTAAACGTTTTTGATTTTTAAGTAGACTACAATATCAGTGGCGTCGCTTGTGGGGGGGCGCAGGGGCTCGAGCCCTCTGAAAAATTTGAATAGCCTCCTGAAGCAAGAACTTTTTTTAAATTGCTCCTTAATATCCCCTTGAACTAAAAATAATTTTTTTTAATTGCCCCCTGAACGATTTCTTTTATAATTCTATTAAGTAATATATAGATTTAATTATTTAAAAATTAATAAGACTGTCTAAATTTTTAATGAATACTATTTTAATTATTAGATTAGATTAATACATATAAATTATATATTCACTATGTCAGCTTGCAAAATTCTGTGTTAAAAATATATCAATATCACTCACTAAATATTAATTTAGCATTAACAGTTGAAACTTAATTGACTTTTATTATTTAAATTATTATATAACCCTAATTAAATTATTTAGCCGAGTTTACCACATTAGTTTACCATCCCTAACGGTATCGTCCCTCTAATTCGTATTTTTTTTAATAAGGTGTTTTGTCGTTTTTCTGAAACTTAAATTTTTCCAATTTATTCCCATTGATTCCCAAAATTTCTAAATAAGTTAATTTAAAAATTTTTTAAATATTTATAGTTAATTTTATATTTTAAATATAATTATAGTTAATTTTATATTTTAAATATAATTATAGTTAATTTTATATTTTAAATATAATTATAGTTAATTTTATATTTTAAATATAATTATAGTTAATTTTATATTTTAAATATAATGTAAGTTATTTAAATATTGATTACCAAAATTTCTAAGTAAGTTAATTTAAAAATTTTTTAAATATATTATAAGTTTATTTAATATTTTAAATATATTTATAGTTAATTTAATATTTTAAATATATTTATAGTTAATTTAATATTTTAAATATAATTATAGTTAATTTTATATTTTAAATATTATGTAAGTTATTTATATATTGATTCCCAAAATTTCTAAGTAAGTTAATTTTAAAAAATTTTATATTATAAGTTTATTTAATATTTTAAATATATTTATAGTTAATTTTATATTTTAAATATAATTATAGTTAATTTTATATTTTAAATATAATGTAAGTTATTTAAATATTGATTCCCAAAATTTCTAAGTAAGTTAATTTAAAAAATTTTTAAATATATTATAAGTTTATTTAATATTATAAATATATTTATAGTTAATTTTATATTTTAAATATAATTATAGTTAATTTTATATTTTAAATATAATGTAAGTTATTTAATTATAGATTCCCAAAATTTCTAAGTAAGTTAATTTAAAAAATTTTTATAAGTTTATTTAGTATTTTAAATATATTTATAGTTAATTTTATATTTTAAATATAATTATAGTTAATTTTATATTTTAAATATAATGTGAGTTATTTAAATATTGATTCCCAAAATTTCTAAGTTAATTTTAAAAATTTTTAAATATATTATAAGTTTATTTAAAATTTTAAATATATTTATAGTTAATTTTATATTTTAAATATAATTATAGTTAATTTTATATTTTAAATATAATTATAGTTAATTTTATATTTTAAATATAATGTAAGTTATTTTAATATTGATTCCCAAAATTTCTAAGTAAGTTAATTTAAAAAATTTTTAAATATATTATAAGTTTATTTAATATTTTAAATATATTTATAGTTAATTTTATAGATTTTTAAATATAATGTAAATTATTTTAATATTGATACCCAAAAATATTGTTAGTTAATTCAAGTAACTATGAAGATTCAAGAAGTTAGAGAGAAATCACAACAAATATCAAAGCTTATAAATTTAGAAATTAAAGTATATATTATTTAATTCACATATATTAATTTATATTTTTAAAAAATCTAAACATTATACAGATTGTATATTTTATGGTGGATATCAATATATAAACCATAAATCTGGAAAGATCACAATTTATTACAAGACGAAAATGTGGAGGAAGAGCTAAACTCACTGATACCGAGGCGAAAATTTTTATTTTTTAATAGTGACCATAATAGTTTATATATTTTACAACTAATAAACTTTTATCACGCCTTTGTTTGGCTGAAAATTTTTTTTTAGACGGCACTTTTAATGCCGCGCCTAAATTATTTAAACAATTTTATACTATTTTTATTTTAGTTAATCTTACTCTTATTATTTGTGCATACATTTTATTGCCAGATAAACATAAAAATACTTATTTATATATGTTTTCTTTATTAAAGTTTGTTTATCTTTAGGGTTTTTTTTCCCCGCGATTTGCCACTATAGATTTTGAAATTGGGGTATACTTAGCCCTTAAAGTTTTTTTCGCACTATAATTGTTAAGGGCTGTTATTTCCACTTCTGTCAGTGCGTTATTAGGCGCATTCAAGAAAGTCATCTAACCCGACTTTTCAGACAGAATAGTAATATAAAAAAAAATTTTCCGAATTATAATGGCCATTCCTTCTTTATTAGAAAGGGATGTGCCATATATAATTAACGATCTGAGGCGATAAGCTGAAGATTTTAGGATAAATTCAATTTTTGATTTTTTAAATAATTTTGAAAATACTTGGATTAATAATAATGTAAAATTTAAATATCAAATGTGGAATACATTTGAGAATAATAATGTGGAAGGGTTTCATCGCTTATTAAAGGAAAACATTCCTTATTCGCACCATAATATTTATCTCTTTATTGACACCATAAAAATTATAGAACAGGATATGGACTTAAAATTAATTCAATTAAATTGGTAGAAAGGTTACTGAAAGAAAAAAAAAATATTGTATAATAATATAATTCTTTACTGAAGAGGTGAATATTTAGATAAAATATCTAAATTTTTATATTCAAAAAAATCAATTTCTTCTATTGTCTAACTAAATTGTTTTATAATGTCAATAAAGGATAACATTATTATTAATCCAAATATTTATAGTCGGGTTTGCCAGAAGTGGTATACGTCAATTTCAAAATTTATAGTTATTATATTTTTGTTATATAAACTTTATCATTGTTTCGTCACTGTTATTTTATTTATATAGTTAACATGCATTAAACCTCCTTTTCATTTTTAATATTCATATTTATATATCGCAATACAAATGTTTAATTATTATAATCGCGATCGAAACATATTATTTTTAATAAAGTTTACAAAAGATTAAAATTTTATATATGATATTAATAATAAATGATTCCCTAAAATTATTATTAGCGTGCCACATAAACAATAGAAATAGTTTTAAAAGTCAGACTTTTGAATAGTTAGAAAGACGACTATTATATTATAGAGTTAAGAAATTCAACTATAAAATAGGATTTATGGTTGTTATTATAATTGTAACAATATCGGAAAATAGGTAAGTTAAAACTTATGAACTAATTTTATTTCAGGATATATCTTTTTAAATATTAGGTAAATAAAATTTAATTTAATGAGAAAGTAATATATTGCTTATTCAAAGTTGGGACCGCAAATACTTGTATCTAAGATACAAGATCCTTTTGTATCTTTATCTTGCATCTTTTTGATATTTTGAAAAAGATACTAGTATCTGTATCTAAAATTCATTTTTTCACCAAGAATCTATATCTGTATCTAGATTCTTTTTCCGTAGGACCTCCCCAACTCTGTGCTTATTCTATAAACTAAAAATTCGACTAAGAGTCAACATTTCCTTTGGTTCTCAAAGAATAGATATTATGGTTATCTTTGTTATTAAAGAAATATTAGGGAAATTTCTAATAATTACACTAAAAATAAATAAATAAATTCGATAAGATATTATACATTTTATAGTGATGTAGATAATATATAATATTTAAGGATCTTTAATGTAGGTATCTATTATAATATTCATCATAATTTAATAATGATACAACAGTCTTAAAACCATAAATTTTTAACAGGATAATATCGTTCACATTATATTTCATTTGAGCCATGGTATTGTTAATTCTTCTGTTTCTGAGCTTAAAGTTATACTTCAAATATTTTATAGATGTTTGATTGTATTCATTAAAATTTCATATAAATAACTTAATATATATTGTATTAGATTACAAAATAAAAGCTATATAAATTATTATAAAATATTTAATGAGTTATCAAATTTATTTTAATTCAATTTTACTTTATTATGCAAAAAAAGGGATTCATTTTTTTATATATTAATTAAAAATTTTATTATGATATGATATAAATTTTATTAATATTATATCAAAGATATATATGATATATTTGTGCTGTCTCTAATATATTATTATTAAGAGTTTGCCAAAATATTGTAAATTATCTGCAATTTATTTTTAGTATATACTGTTCTTGTATTAATATAAATTTTAATTACTATTTAGCAATTTCTATTTATATTTAAATTTATTTTTTTGTATTAATATAAATATTAATTACTATTTAGCAATTTCTATTTATATTTAAATTTATTTTAAAATAAAAAGCATTTTTTAATTTATTTGTCTAATCTGTTACAATGTTTCAAAATTATACAAATATTATAATCGCTTCAAAATATATTTGTGGCCATTTTAGGTCATTTGACGTTTTTCATAAATTTTTACGAAGAGGTGGACCCTAACCTCACTAACAACTATATTATTGATTTTTAAATTTAATTATCATATCTCTTTCTAAAATTATTTTTAAGGTCCAAATCCAAATAAGTATAAGAGATTTATTTATAAAAAGTAAGTAGACATATAGTTTATAATCCTCTATTATATATAATTTTTTATAAAATATTAGATAAAATGCCTCATTTGCATACGTATTTGACAGTTATATAATATATTACAGTTAATATTTTAAAATTTTACTAATCAATGCTTTTGATAATAAATATAAGTAACAATTTGCATTCAAATTAACGCCATCTATTTATTTAATAAATTATTATAATTAAACATCTTATTATTCATCCAACAATGAATGTAATAAATTAGACATCTTTTCTTCTCTTTTTTACGTGTTTTTAGGAAAACTATTTTTTTCTTTTTTGAAAAACATTTTTGAGTTAAATTTTACGAATATATTTTAGATATTATTACAAACTACTATTATTTTAAGATATAATATACCAACTTGGAGTTCCTGAATAAATTA